AGTGATTAGTATTTATAATGTATTTCAGCAAGAGCAAAAGTAATCACGTCTGAAAATGGCACTCATTACGGTAAAAATGAACATAAATTGATTGCTTAGTGAATTGAGCCATATATTGTCATACTACACAGGCTGATTGCTCTATACTATTGAAGTTAGTTTGACATATGGTCATCAGTCCCAAACAGTTCAGCAATATCAAACAAATTGTCCTTCTTCAAAAAAGGACTTTATAGAAATTTAACTTCTTAATGTGGTTTCAGTAAACTTCAATTCAAAATTACTGCAATTGTTCTTTGTATTTATGGTTCACAGTTGGAAAGAGAACACTCAGAAAACAAACAAAAAAAAAAATTAAAAATACAACCTACGGGAGGGTAAAACATATTACCAAAATGCATAAATCATCCATGACACGGTTACAATTCTGTTACTTAGCGCACACATAACCAATGTCTGAATTCCACCTAAACTAAGCTAGGAGTAGTGCTCACCCATTTGCTGGTAAGCAGTGCCCCCAATTGGTTAAAATGTGTTTTAGTAGCATAAAGCATGTGTATGAGAAAAGCAATGCATCAACAGTCTCAGGCAGGTACTTCCTGCTCCAGTTTTAGACATTAAAAAAGAAGAAGACTCCATAGTAAAGTCTGAGGACTTTATTTGTCAAACAATTTGTACAGTAACATTGCACTGCGATTTCCTGATTATCCACTGAACTCTGTGCAGCAGTATGAAGTGCGGACGGCTGGAGAGGTGGTCGTTCAGTTAGGACTGGCAAATCTTGAACATGTGCACATTTGAAAACATTCACAATTTTTAGGGACAAAAAGGCAAAACCCAAAAAGCAGCATTTTAACAGATATCTGCTTCGAAAGGAAAGCAGAATATTCAGGTTTTTTTTTTTTTACTTAAAGTAAATCATGAGTCCATTGCGGGACACAGGAATTTTAGGTATATAGCACTGACCATTTACACAGTGCTTTATATACTGTACATTCACATACGTCCTGCCCTCAAGGAGCCAACATGCTAGAGTCCCTACCTAGCATTCATACACACACGCAAGAAAGCCAGTTTGGAAAGGAGCCAATTAACCTACCAGCATGTCTAACATATGGAAGGAAAGCAGAGTACCCAGAGGAAACCCATGAAAGCACTGAGAAAACTTGCAGACTCCATGTAGATAAGTGTCCCTCAACCAGTATTTGAGCTGAGGACCCCTGTGCTTCAAGGCAAAAAAAGTGCTAACCACCAAGCTACTGCGCTATCCTTTTCTTCTTGTTTTCAGAAAGAAACCATGTTAAACTGCTGCCTACAGAAGGTTGGGACACTGGCAAATAGGAAGACTGTAAGGACCCCATGTAACCCCAACTTTTTGTTTTTCTTTCCTGGGTAGGATTGACAGACCTCAGTCTTCAAGGCTTACTGTTTGAATGTGTGGTAGGCTCAGAAAACCACTGTGTAGGGGCTACTGAAATAAAATTTGAGCAAGTGGGATACCTCGAGCTCCTGCACAGACCTCCTGAGCTGAAAGAGGAGTACATTTTGGCAACCTGTGGCATTGCCAATGACAGTGTCAAGACAACATCTCTCAAAAGGTAACCAAAATCAAAGACTCCTTGAACGACTTGTCAGCATCCTGTGCAGCCAGAGTGTCCAGGAAAACAGGCCAAAACAAGACAAACAAACAAACCAAAAACAAAACAAAAAAAAAAAAAAAAAGACACAAAGCTCACCAGATCGTGCAGATAACGCTCATAAATGAAAAAATGGTAAAATTAAGATTACAATAAGTGGCTTGAGCAGGACATTTCATCAGGTGTACCCTTCCAATGGTAAATCAGGTCACACAGACAGATGCTGAAGACACTTGCTTCTCCATGGTTTTTGTAGTGCCCACTTCAGGAGATTACCATTCCTTCTATTTTTTTTGGCTACCTAATGAGTATCTGCCTGGTGACCTGGTTTACCATTGGAGGAGTATTCCGGATACGTTGCTCTGATCAAGCTACTATTTTGCAAGTGCAATGCTACCATTTATTAAAAGGTGTTATCAGCACGATCCAGTGTGCTAAGTTTTGTGTTTCTATTTTTGCACACTAATATGGCATTTGGATATATGCAGAGCTTGCAATTACACGCATTTACCTTGCTACATATAAAGGAGACCTTACTCACCAAGTTAGTTCTCAGAAACAGGGTTGCACCCTGGTCTGTGCCATGGCCCTGAACCTGGCAAGCACAATGTCCAAGGAATGGAAAGTGCCACAGTACAGAGGCCAGTGCCTGAAGGTCAAAAAGCCAGGCTAGGCAATTTCAGTGATGTCTAGCCTCTGAAGCCATAACTGAGGAGCTGCCAATCTGGATAGCTGCTATGCAGAGGCCAGCTCAAGCAGCAGTGTAACATTGGTAACTTCAATCACGTTTCTTTAAGTGCCAGCAATGCAGCCTAGATGTATATTGAATTCAGAGGAAAAAAAAGAAAAAGAAAAAAAAAAAAAGTATATGTCATGAATTGGTAGGCTAGCCAAAAATTAGGACTTTTCTACAGAGCTGAAGAGAAAAAAAAACCAAACATGCTGGATAGGATTATACAGGGTCTGCCTTACAATGTTTCAGTTGGCCAATGCCTCACCTCCTGTAGGCACCAGTATAACCTGAAAAGTCACAGAATTCCTATGTCCCTTAATGGATGAAAAAGAGAGGGTACGGTTTACTGGCCTAATCTGCAAGACACTAAAGAACAAAATTCTGTAAAACAATTAACATTAACAAAAATTCCCAATAGTGATTGGGATAAAAAGGTGAAAATTATGAAGCAGAGTGCAAAGATAAAGCAGAAAATAAAATGACAAAATGTAACTGCTCCTCCCCTATGACAAGGCCTTTCCTAGTTTGAGTAGTAGCCACAAGAAGCCATTATTTCATTAAGCTCTTACTTACGTTTTAAGACATTCTAAATGGATTTCAAGTGAAAAGATCATGAAAAAGGACCTTCTGTCATTCCAATAACTGTGCATATAGCCGAGCCCAGTCTAAACACTTTCACACAATTTACACAGAGTGAAGAACATGGTTACAGCTTACAAAATGGCAGTTTTGACAGGAAATTCATTCTAGGACTGACATCTGAGGCCATATGGCATTGTACTTAGAAGATTCAAAGCCTACACTCCCTAAATGGCTACTGCCACTGTTTGTAAAACTGTCTATTACAGTCTACAGCAGCTACAGAGCTTCAATTTAAAATATGAAGGCTCCCATGGCCCCACAAATATGAATAGAGTATTACTTTTTTTTTTTTTTTTTTTAGAAAAACAGCTGAAAAACCTTGACATGAGCACAAGTCTTAAAGCAGAGCTAAACCCATCGGTTTAACAGTTTCAAAAAACACTTCACATTTGCTTGTGCTCTCAACTAAACTGTCAAACTATCGAATGGCTGGTGTCATAACTGATCACATGTGCAGCATCATGGCAGTTGAAGATCAAAACAGAGGCCAAGATGGCAGCTTCCTTGGCTGAAAATAGGAGGGTTTATTTCCGCTACAAAGAATAAAGGAAGTAACATTCAGTCAAACAACATTTTGACTGTTCTAAGAATGGCTGGGTTTAAAATGCAGCATAAAAAAGGCCTACCTTGGTCATTTTACTGTTAGCGACTGTACATGGAATGTAGTCTCAAGATATGGAATGATTAATTTTGTCTATATATGGTTCACCAGTGAGCTATGCTAATGAGAAGTACACAACACACTAAACAAGTAAAAAGAGCTTGTCTGCTGTTGTGTCTACTCTCACTGCACCAGGCCAATTTTTCTGGAGTTATGGTCTTGAGAATCAAGATGTACTGTTAGCTGGAAAGCATCATGTGAGATATAAAAAAGTTGCCCAACTATACAAGCGCATACAAGGGATACGAAATTAGAAAAAAAAAAAAAAAAAAAAAAAGAATTCTACACATATCTCTAAGATATAAAGGGAACAAAAAAAAATGTGTCTAATACAATCAACTAGCTAATTTTATTGTCTGACATCCAGGCTTTGCATAAAATGTGCTGAACAGCTGGCTGCTAGCATTTATGAAAAAAAAAAAAAAAAAAAAAAAAAAAAAAAAAAAAAACACCTTACAAATGCTGATGCCAATCAGATGATACATGGCTGATGCTACCACAGCATCAGGGACGGGAAAAATTTGGGAAAGAAGAAAAAAAAAAAAAAAAAAAAAAAACTATTCATATCTGGCTTGGAGGTACTACAGTATGGCATCCCCCTCCAGCCAAATTATATCTTATACCTAGAGCACTTTGTTTACAGTCAGATAAAAATGGTGCTAATGTGACCTGCAACCAAGGCCTACATCACTGTCCCAGTACAAAGGAATCCATACACAAATGACAGCCCTTCCCCCCAACCCCCCCAATTTAAAAAAAAAAAAAAAAAAAAAAAGAGAACACATTGGCAGCTCTATTGAATGATTAATACCAAACTATAAAGCTGCACCAGCTCCAGTGTTTTGACAATACAAGGTTCAGAGGTGGACACTCCACACCAACCTGGAAGCAGTTTATACAAGTAGTCCCTTCCAGATTCATGGCTTAGACAACATGTCAGGTCCAAATGGTGTGTAGTCTCTCCTGTTTGTTATAGATATATATAATATAATTATAAATATAAATCACTGTCACGCTGCCCTTTCTGTATCATACATGCACATATATTACACCTTTGCTTCCAATGCCGGCCCCTCCAGGGAGGGAAGGAAGCTTGGATGATGTGGGTCTTTGCACAGAGAGATCCCATTGTTCCCCAATCAGCAGGACAGAACACGCGCTGTATTTATGTCACCTCATCCACAGTCAAGAACATTCCAAGAAATACTATGAAGTACAGGGAGGTATTCCAGTATGAGTTCATGCCGAGTAGTCTCTGGTGTTAAGGTGCAGTCCTGTAAGGCAACCTACAGTGTCCAGGGGGCTCATGTGTATTCAGGGCAATGTGTCACCAGTTTGCCTTCACAGCTTTTATATCACTAACTAGATTCTGAGCCAAGCAGATTCCAAAAATCTGAAAAACATGACAAAAAGTTAAGAAAAATATATGTATTTCATATCAGTTTTTAAAATACAGGGACAATAAATGATGATATCTATATTCTCCAAAAATAAATCCATACACAAGCACTACCTAATGGCCCTGTAATATATTTTTCATGAAAACATTTCTTCCCATTTTCTGGCTCTTGTAACATCTTCTGTGAGCTACCATACTGGTTTCCTCTGCACCTCCATTTCTTTGGAACAGCCACTGACACACAGACATCCATCTGGGGAGGAGGCAAGAGAAGGTGGCTGTGTTCCTACACACAGTGGGACCACGGAGAACAATCTCCAACAGAAGTCAGGTCACAATAGCCAAAACAAAAAAAAGGGGGAGTTTGAAGGAGGCGCTAGCAATAGAAGGTAGATTTTTAAGTTAAAAAGGAGAAGTACAGCCAAAGCTCTTTTGGCTGTACTTCTCCTGTGCATCACAGGAGTGCAGTTCGTTCTGCAATCCTGTGACCCGCTTTCAGCCGGCAGTCGGCTGATGTCACTCAGCTGATCCAGACTGGGGAAAGATCTTGACTTCAAAGTTGGGATCCACCCCAGAGTCTGGCTCAGCCTTGGTGTGCCGCTGAGAATCTGAGCCAGCTGCCCCCTCCCCCTACACAGCCCAGTACTCCAGTGAGTGCTGAGGGGGCAGAGCAGAGAGCGTTGACTGACAGTCATCACTCTCTGCTCAGAGCGGCAGTGAGAACTCAGTGATCAGCAGTCATGTGATTGCTGAGTTCTCATCCTTAGAGCCGGCATGGGGACGGATGCTGCATATACCTAGGCAAGTATAATGGGGGGGCAAAAAATCAAGTCATACTTCTCTTTTAAACATACATACTTGAAAAGAATTTTGACCTTTTCAAACCAGAATTTTGTGTCACTTAATACTGTAAAACAGTTTTGGTTGGGATTCTCATTATGGTGGTTGTAAAGGCTGAAGGGAGCGAGCACGCATGAGTGCTCCATAGCAAGCCGCTTGCCATTGGGCGCACTGGCAGGGGGAGGAGCCAGAATCTCTTGCAGGGGACCCAAGAAGAGGAGGATTGGGGCTGCTCTGTGCAAAATCACTGCACAGAGCAGGTAAGTTTTTTGTTTTTAAAAAAACTACACAAGCCTTTAATATCACTTTAAATATAGCATTCAACAGGCAAGATCAAGTTCTTATTTCTTATATCACTTATGTCACTAGCAGAATGTACAGATATCTCAAAAAGGAATTTGCAGTGCTGCTTCATAACAGCACCATTTTAATCCCTGTTGCCTTCTCCATAGAGGTATCAAGACCTGTCCCCCGAAAATAGAACATATTTCAAACGGAACTTAAAGATTTATCCATCAGTGCCTGCAACAGTTTGAAGCCAGTGAGCATTCTAACCATAATATAAAACAAAAAAGCGTTATTATAAAGAGGCTGTAAAATTGAACCAGAATAGTGGAGTGTGAGTGTGAGTGTGTGAGAGTGTGTGTGAGTGTGTAAGTGTGTGTGTGTGTGTGTACCAAGCTACCCAACAGAGAGAACAGTTAAAGGACTAAATCCAAAAAAGTCAAGCTTTTTTTAATCAAAGTTAATCCAGCAGATGGCAGCAGATATCTATAAACCAAACTGGAAGTAATGCTGCAAAAGCATACATTTTATTTTGCTTGTATGCAAATGGAAATGTCTCCATAATGTATAAAAAATAAAAAATAAATACACACACACGGAATTACAAAAAAACATGTTTGACCAGGATGAAGAATTATGGAAATACAAACCTGTAATAATGCAACTGCCACAAAAACTGCAGCTACTATTATTAAATTGTCTTGTAGCCACTTTTCAAACTGGCCCACACATCCCTTGGTGTAAATATAAGTCTGCTGCTCCAACTCCTGTTCACAAGGGGAAAAAAAAAACAAAAAAAAAAAAAACAACTGTTTATTACATGCAAAATAGGAGAAAAAAAACAAAACACGACACACACAATATAATGCTAATGAATACAGAATTGGATCCAGTGGTTTTCTGAATGGAAAGAAGAGAGATTGGCAGGATCACCAGGGATTTCACACAACAAATACGAAGAGAATAGGATACTTTTTCATACAAGTACATGATACAAGAACCTATCAGGAATATGAAATGTTAGGGCAACAGGCTCTTTAAAGGAACTCTCCTGATGTGTTGCACAGAGTACTTTTTGCCATATGAAGAATGATACACAATAAAACCTCATCAGGGAGAAGGGGAACTGCCCACATGGTGGTCACAGCAGGTGTGCAAATGTAAAGCATGCAAAGCACAGATCTCAACAGAATTCCCAAAAGCGGTATTACTTACAGGACTATCTACAGCATAGGCTTTTGAAAACACAATCTGCTGTATGCTGTCAGAGCAGGGATATCCAGAATGACCACTGACACTTCCAGGAGTAACAGTCACCTGGGTCCCTTGCCACTCTCACTGGTTCATCCTGGTGATCTCCATACCACTACTGTATCATGCTATATTTAGAGAGTGAGCTGTGGGAACACAGGAGATTGACACGTCCAGAAGTGAATATTTCTCTATGGAGTGCAGCAGAAAAAGTTCAACCAGAGTGATGTTTGGGTGGCATAAGCAGAGGGAAAGGCAAGTATTTAAAGTCTTCTTTTACAAGTGGGTCATTTTAAGAAGTATTTTGAATATACAAGGACTGTGTGCAGTATATAATGCAAGTATGATCAGGTTTTATGTAACCATTATCCTTTCAGTCTCTCCAACAAATTTGTCTCAATCTGGCCATGTACACCACACAATTTCTTTCCATCATGTGTCCCAGGAATTACACATTTCTAGCAATACATCCTCTGTCCCAGTTACACTGGGCTGAATGGAATGGTCCACACAAAAGCATACCAAATACCTATACCGATCAGCCATAACTAAATGACCACTGACAGGTTAACTGAATAACATTAGTTATCATTGCAATGGCATCTAAAAGGTGATGGGATGTATTAAACGTGAGACACAATATGTTCACCTGCTGCCTGTGTGTTGAATGCAGGAAAAAAAACATTAAATAAAAATGGGCTGACCCACATCCATAGCCACAAGCAACTTAAATGTGCATGTCAGTATCAGAACTGGACAACAGAGCAATGGAAGACCGCGGCCTGGTCTGATGAATCACATTTTATTTAACATCATGTGGATGGCTGGATGTGTGTGCACATCACTTACCTGGAAAAGAGATGGCATTGCTTTGGGCAATGTTCTACTTGTAAACCTTAGATCCTGTCATTCATGTGGATGTTACCTGGCATGTACCACCTAAAACATTGTTGCTGACAGAGTACACACCCTTCATGCAAAAATGGTTCAAGAATAGTATGAAGAACACAAGTTCAAGGAGTGTTGACTTGGCGCCCCAATTTCAACAGATCTCAATCCATTTCAGCATCTGAGGGAAGTACTGGAAAAACCAAGTCCAATCCATGGAGGACCCACTTTAAAACTTACAGGACTTAAAAGGATCTGCTACCAGCGGCTTGGTGCTAGATATTCCAACATTCCTTCAAAGGTCTAGTGGCATCCATGCTTCCAACGGGTCAGGGCTGTGTTGGCAGCAAAAATGGGATCTATTTAATAGTCAGTGGGTGGTCAAAGTTATAGCTGATTGATGTATATACACTGAACTCTAGCCTCAGAGGAGGAGAATGTTTATTTTTTTTCTGTTGCCCAATGCTAACAGCAAACGAACACAAATGGTACACTACATTCAGCAAGATCATGCTTCACAAAGATAAAAGCCTTGTATAATATAGGTTGGTTTCCAGTTTTAGGCTGGTAGGAAAGCCCAATAAGGGATTCGACATAAAACACATGAATACCTTCACATAATAAAGAGACATTTTTTTGCCAACACATAATATCTCTGGCAAAAGCCAGCCAGCCACAGACCAGACACACAGACACACAGACACACACACACACACACACACACACACACACACACACACACACACACACACACACACACACACGATGGCAGTGACAAAAAAGTTAAAGAGGGGACCAGTCTTACCAGCTTCAGCCTCACGTCGTATCCACATTGAGTATTGGGAACATCCTCCTGTTGAGAGAAAGATTATGCATTTTAGAAACACAACTTGCTCTTTTAACTGCTAGCCCACATGAAATAGGCACTGACTATGAGGCACATTGGGATATGGATAATATTCCTCAGCAAAGGAAGCTTTTCATGAATCAATGCTTTAAGAAAGCACTGCCTCTTGTTACTCACATCTAACCACCTGTTTGCATACACAATATCCTGCAGAGTTTACATTGCACCTGGAGCTCTGCAGAAAAACTGTATGATGCAAAGAAAGTTGATAGGAAAAGGCAAGCACTGTCTGAAGCTGGCCATATATGCAATTTTCTTTCCTGCAACCATGGGTTGCAAAAAACATTTAAGGTCCATTTAAGGGCTTGTTTACACTGCAGTTCCTGTGTTCAGTTCCACACATGCATTTACATGCATTTGCAGCGTATGTTTGGTGCTCAGTGCTTTTACCACCCGCAGCACTGAATTTACAAGCTGCAAAATCTAGCACTGTACCTTTCGTCTTTTAAAAACGCTTTAATACTGTAAAAAAGCCTCACTGAAATAATTCATGTTACTTGCATGAGTGTTTGTTCTGCTCCTAAAAACAGATTTGAATGCATCTGGAGTAAAACTAAAAAAGCATATTGCTAAAGATAAAAACACCCCAAACGCACAACCACAACACACCGAACACATCCTGTATGGGCAAGCAGATATACTGACAGATCTGCAGGAGACTCTGCTGATGGCTGGTGCAATGCTTTACAGGCTTCCTGCAACAAAAAATAATAAATGCCCATTTTTTTACCTGCAAAAAAAAGTGCATTTATTATTTTTGTATAAAAGGTGAACTTATCCTTAAAGGCCTATTCACATGTAAACATTCTATTGTGATAAAATGCATATGTGCCAACAAGAGTTGTGTTGGATATCATATCATCCTCTCAATCTGAGCATGTGCAGCTTGCCCCAAGGCTTTGTTCTATCAGCAGATGGTTTGGGGACAGTAGAAGAAGGGGAGGATCAGAGAAGACAGGAACAAAATATCCTTTTTACACAATGTGGAAGATTAACCCCTTAGGTTCCACAGTAAGTATAACAAGCATGCTTTACTGCAACACTTTAAGGTTGGAAAATGTGTAAAAAGTACTGCACTTTTTTTAGTACTGAAATTCTTTATTGGTGAATTAACAGGGGGGTGAGCAGCTTTTTAAAGGAAGCACGGCTAGGAAAAACAGTGCAGGGGATTTGAATTTACTTTATTTGCAATGAACACTGCACAGAGCAGATGTCTTGCCATGTTTTGTGGCAATGAGAGTTACCGTTGCCTCAAAGTGTGAAAACCCACATACTACTAAATACAAAATCCAAACCAATGGTGTTCCCAAAATCTGCACTGCTACGAAATTAAGCTAATGTGCATCTGTGGACTGTTGACTATGAAAAAATCCCAGCCATCTGAAATGCACAGAGAAAATAAAGTAAGTGGAGCTTCTTACTGCAGGGTCCTTCACACAGCAGGAAAATGGGACTCCACAGCGCTCTCTGCTTGGATTAGAGTCTGTACAATTGAAGTAAATATTGAGGTTCCAGTCATTGGGTCCATGAGCACCACAGCAAGACCACTGAAGGAAAAAAAAAAAAAAAAAAAAAAAAGTTATACAAAAAGTTATAAAAAATATGATAAGAAGCACATGTTCCCTACAACATACAAAAACACTTTTTTGCACATAGCTGCTACCAAAAAGTTAATGTTCTCTAATGGTTCCACTAGAGGGCAGCAGAGGCATGGCTTAGAACTACATGAATACAGACATTACAGCATTCAAAATTAAATATGAGCGGGACAAAAACTACACAAGAAGCTGTGATAGTCACTGACAAAGTAAAAAGTACTAAAACAGATTCACACTTACATATTCCTGAGCAAAATCAATGAGGTTTTGCAGGTCTATATCATCGCGATACGCCTTCACATTGTTGTTAATAAAGAAGTTGAGTTGATCTTTAATCCAGTCCTTAAACACAAAGGCAAGGATCCCTGCAGTCAGCTCAAGGAAAAAGATCAGCCCCAGGAAGACCGAACTGCAAAAAAGAAAATAGACGATCAAACAAGGACCTGGTAAGCACGGTGTAATGTCTTCACAGGTGCTGAATGGCTAGCTATTGGGAGTAATGTATTGAAGAAACTGAACTGTGGAGGAATCTGCTTGATTTCACTAACATAAAAGGCAAAAACAAAACAAAAAAACAAAAAAAAAAACACACACGTAGTGTATATATGCAATACATGTACAAGGTTTTCCTCTTTAAAAACAAATACAAGCACAAAAATACCTGTATTTTACAGACAGTGTGTTCATTGAGCTTAGTTTTATTTGGAGTTGGAGGCAGTGAAAACAGGCTGCTGAGCTGTCTTTTACGGTCCCCCAGCAGCACTTAAGCTGCAAAGGAAGCCAGACTGGGACTTACAGGTGAAACTCGAAAAATTAGAATATCGTGCAAAAGTTCATTTATTTCAGTAATGCAACTTAAAAAGGTGAAACTAATATAGATAGGTGAAACTAATATATTTGCTGGCCAATCAAGCACAGTAATCCCATGGTCATTGAACCAGGTTTGGTGCTTTTAGCAGTGTTGGCAGGTGCCAAGTCCTGCTGCTGGAAAATGAAGTCAGCATCCCCATAAAGCTTGTCTGTGGAAGGAAGCATGAAGTGCTCCAAAATCTCCTGGTAGACGGCTGCGTTGACCCTGGACTTAATGAAGCACAGTGGACCAACACCAGTAGATGACATGGCTCCCCAAATCAACACAGACTGTAAACTTCACACTGGACTTCAAGCATCTTGCAGTGTGTGCCTCTCCATTCTTCCTCCATACTCTGGGTCCTTGGTTTCCAAATGAGATGCAAAAGTTGCTCTCATCAGAAAAGAGGACTTTGGACCACTGAGCAACAGACCAGGTCTGTTTTTCTTTAGCCCAGGTAAGACGCTTCTGACGTTGTTTTGTTGTTCAGGAGCGGCTTGACAAGAGGAATACAACATTTGAAGCCCATGTCCAGGATCAGTCTGTGTGCTGTGACTCTTGATGCACTTACTCCAGCCTCAGTCCACTCCTTCTGAAAGTCCAACACTTTTGAATGGCCTTTCCCTGACAATCCTCTCCAGGCTGCGGTCATCCCCGATGCTTGTGCACCTTTTTCTTCCACACTTTTCCCTTCCACATAACTTTCTATTAATGTGCTTTGATACAGCTCTTTGGGAACATCCAACTTCTTTTGCAATTACCTTTTGAGGCTTTCCCTCCTTATGGAGGGTGTCAATGATGGTTTTCTGCACAACTGTCAGGTCAGCAGTCTTTCCCATGATTGTGATCAGGGTGGATAAATATCAATGATTTAAAAATAAATAAATATAAAAAAAAAAACAGATTTTTTTTTTATTTAAATCGGATTTTTTGTATAAAATGCTTTTTGAGTTAAATATATATACCATCCAAAGGTTATTCCATCATGAAATAAAGATTTGTTTTTTAATTATGTAGAATAAGGCTGTATATGTTTAATTTTTTTGGTAAATAAATTCCATTAATCCATTCACAATATCATGCTCTTCCAGAGGTTTTTGTAAGATTATTGGGCAGTTTCTCTGCCTACAAGATTATCACAGATGCTTGGTTTACTTTTGCAGTTCTCAAAACTGAAATTTGACTCAGCGGAGATCACATGCCTCTTCTTCACAGCAAAAATGTTATAACATGAACAGAGTTAAGAAAAAGACCTTAATCCTAACTTCTACAAACCTATGAATACAGAATCCACCCCTTCAGTGCCAAGTTTCAAGAAGTTCAGTGAATAGAATAGAAACAATATTTTTCTGATTGTTTGGAGTGGAATAGATCTGCACAAGAAGAAAGTGAAACTAAGTGTGAGGAGGAAGGGGCTGACAGTCTAAGTTTCTTAAAATATATATATTTTGTTTAGCCAAATTAGTTAACAAACATGGATGTTTGTTTAAGCAAATAACATATGCTGGAATGTTATTGTTTCAGTTGAATAAATCTATTTAAATTGTTATTATTAAGGTAATGATTATTTTTCTCCTTCCTAAGTACAACAGAAAAGTTGTCCAAATATGAATGATTAACCTATTAAACTGGGGATAAAAAAACTAATAAGAAAAGTTGTTATTCTAAAAATCTTCATCTACTTGTATATTAAAGTTATACCAGCAAGAATTAGTCTATGTAGAAAACTATTATTTAAATCAAGCCTTACTGACTAGTGATTTAAATCGTGATTTAAATCAAATCCACCCCGATTGTGATTCCTACTGAACCAGACTGAGAGACCATTTAAAGGCTAAGGAACCCTTTGCAGGTGTTATGGCTTAATTAGCTGATTAGAGTGGGACACGTTGAGCCTAGAATATTGCACCTTTTCACAATATTCTCATTTTCTGAGATTGTGGATTTGGGGTTTTCATGAGCTGTAAGTCATAATCAATCACAATTATGACAAATCACGGCTTGAACTATCTTGCTTTGCATGTAATGAGTCTATCTCATATATTAGTCAGAAAAGCAGAATAAGTGAGCGCTTGAATGAATATGATGATAAACAGCAGCTGTACACCAAAAAAGGCACCGTATCAAACCTTCAGAGACATAAATGTATAAAAAGAGGGGAGGTGCAGCGCTATATAACCTAGCAGATAGTAATAAATTCAAAATCAAACACAGATAATAAACAGTGATAATAAACAGTGACTGTGTGTTAATAAAGCCACTGAATGGTGGCTATGGAGTGAGGGAAGTGAAACAGTTCAATGAAGGAGTGCTCTTAAGATCCAGGATGATCCTCAGACGTCCAATATTTGGAACCGCCAGGTGATAAAAAAAATGTAAAGATTGCGCACTCACCAGATACGCAATCTTTATGCGCATTTGTGTATGATATCACTGGACCTCCTGTGTCATCAACCTGGTCTGGTCAGATCTGGTCAGCATATCTTTCACTGCCTGGTAGCCGGATAGATGCAGCTGTTCTGTGGATCTGGCTGGTTCCCACCAGGACTCAAATAAACAGAGAGGGCCACATAGTGTGATATCCTTAAAGTATCTTTATTATATACAGGCACAGGATAGCAGGAAAATCCAATAGGTTTCACCTTTTATGTTGCATTACTGAAATAAATGAACTTTTGAACAATATTCTAATTTTTCGAGTTTCACCTGTACCAATGTCAATACTTTGCTTTAGAGTGGGAAAAATGATTACCCCCCTATTCAAGTGATTGGGGCTGCGCTGCAACTGTATTAGCATTCAAATCAGGGGGAGAGCAGGCAGATGCTTACCATGTTACACCAATGCAAACATGCAGCAAGCAGGACTTTAAAAACGCAACTGACCAGTGTGAAGAGTTCCACAGGATTTAAAGGGATGCAATATGCATTTTTACAACAGAGCAGTGTCAATTGCAGTTTTAGGTAGCTTTCAAAAACGCAAAGGACCAGTGTGAGGAGTTCCATAGGATTTAAAAAGGCATCCATTTTTCTTCCGATTATTTTTTTTTTTTTTGTTGTTGTTGTTTGAAAAACAGATCTGTATGAAAGGGACCTACAGTTAGGTCCATACATATTTGGACACAGGAACAGTTTTCATACTTTTTGCTCTGTATGCCAGCAGAATAAATTAAAATTAACCAATCCAAATGAATTGGAAGTGCAGACTTTCAGCTTTAGTTCAAGGGGTTGAACATAAATATCAAGTACAAAATTTTAGGAACTGCAACCATTTTTATACACAGTCTCTCCATTTTCAGGGCACAAATGTAATTGGACAATTGAATATAATCATAAATAAAATGTTCAATTTTAATACTTTGTTGAGAATCCTTTACTGGCAATGACTGCTTGAAGTCTGGGAACCCATGGACATTCCCAAAGACTGGGTTTCCTCCTTTCTGATGCTTTGCCAGGCTCTAACTGCAGCTGTCTTCAGATGTTCTTTGTGGGTCTTTCTGCCTTTAGCAAGTGAAATGCAAGCTCAATTGGTTTGATATCAGGTGATTGACTTGGCCATTGCAGAATATTCCACGTTTCCTTCAAAAGCTCCTGGGTTGCTTTTGCAGTGCGTTTTGGATCATTGTCCATCTGTACTGTGAAGCGCCGTCCAATTAACTTTGCTGAATTTGGCTGAATCTGGGCTGACAGTATATCTCTAAACACTGCAGAATTCACCTGACTGCTTCTGTCTTATCAATAAACACCAATGACCCACTGGAAGCCATGCATGCCCATGCCATCACACTGCCTCCACCATGTTTTATAGATGATGCTGTGTGCTTTGGATCATGGGCTGTTCCAAGCCTTTTCCGCGCTTTTTTCTTCCCGTCATTCTGGTACAGATTAATCTTAGTTTCATCCATCCAAAGAAAGCTTTTCCAGAATTGGTCTGGCTTTTTTAGATGTTTTTTGGCAAAGTATAATCTAGCTTTTCTATTCTTCTGGCTTATGAATGGTTTGCACCTTGTGGTGAACCCCCTTTATTTGCTCTTGTGAATTCTTCTCTTGATTGTAGACTTTGACAATGATACGCCCACCTCCTGGAGAGTGTCCTTCACTTGTCTGGCTGTTGTGAAAGGGTTTTTCTTAACCATGGTGGATGATTGCAGGATCCTCTCTATGGTAGTCTGCAGTGGTCATCCATGCCTTTTTATGTTATGGAGCTCACCAATGCGTTCTTTCCTCAGAATGTACCATACTGTTGATTTGGCCACTCCTAATGTTGCTGCTATCTCTCTGATGGATTTGTTTCATTTCTGAAGCCTTACAATGGTCTGTTTCACTTGCATGGACAAGTCCTTTGAACGCATGATGTAGGTTCACAACAATAGATTCCAAATGCAAATATCACACTTAGAATCAACTCCTGACCTTTTTTCTGCTTAACTGATGAAGAAATAATAAAATAGGAGTAGCCCACACCTGGCCATGAAACCGCTTTGGATTCAATTGTCCAATTACTTTTGGTCCCTTGAAAAAAAAGGGGGTGATGGCTACTCTTAAGAGCTGCAATTCCTGAACCCTTCCTCCGATTTGGATGTTCATACCCTTAAATTAAACCTGAGAGTGTGCACTTTCAGCCCATATCCATTATATAACTATAGTTTGCATATGTTTTGATAGATACCTGAAAAAAAAACTAAAATTGTGCCGGTGTCCAAATATATATGGACCTAACTGTAAATAAGGATGTAACATATAGCATGTTCACAAAGGGTGAACTTATCCTTTAAGACAGGAGGCTTGAGAAGGACAGACAACACTGGTTGTTATTTCTGTGCAGTAGAGACAAAAAAAAAAAAAAAAAAGTTAAAAGTTTGAGGTGGGGAGCGAACACACACACCCACACGTTACATTAATGAAGAGCATAATTGCATGATCTCTAGTTCTAGGCCAAGATGTGCATGTTATGATACCCTACTGAAGGCCCCTTGTGTAAACATCAAAAACATATGTACCGGAAGGATAATGCATACAATGCTTTAATGTACTCCGCATTCATTCTGGGTTTTTCTCTCTTAAGTTAGGCTTGTGTAGGCCTCAAATAACTGTAGAATTAATGTCATGTGTTTTCTGCCTTTGGCTTCCTATTCCAATTTAAAAAAATAAATAAATTTGTTGACAGTGTTTGGTATTTTTACCACTGTATTAGTTTCCTACAGCTTTAGGGAAAAAAAAAAAAAAAAAAAAGGCATTTGTTTTTAAAATGTGAACTTATCCTTTAACGTAAAGAGCATGTAGGATTTTTGACATCATTTTACATATGGTGGCGTTTCCCTTAAGTACTTGGCAAACACGTGATATTCTAAAAAGGAACTTCTATTAAAAAAAGGAGGAGCCTTGGTACAAAATAAAATCAGCAGTGTGTGAAGTCAATGAATTTCAGTTTGCATGGAAAACGTGTGGTTAAAGTGAAAATAATTCTATTATATTATTATGAGGCACTTCTTTTTTCAATGGTCCCCTGGCCACTCCACTATATTTTCGTTCTGTGTCTGCCTGTGCACGTTCCCACTCTGTACTGCAAGTCTATGTACAGCCAGAGAGCCACTCACAGCCAGCATGGGTTATACATGCTCATTTGGCTAGAAATAAATTATGAAATCCCTTATTTCTAACTTACACAGGTGTCTGCACAAATCATCCCCCAAAGCAGCTCAATTTTTCTGCCCAACAAGTTGTAGCTCTCAGACATCACAAAGAATGCAGAACCAGCAGAACCAGACACAACCTGGGAGCATCAGACAATACTGGCTACTGGAGAGTGAGAAACTGGTAACCAATCGTATGTACCCCCCCAACCAAAAAAGCATTTAACCAATGCAGTGTGTGGGACCCCAATGTATGGGTAAATTTAATGGCAGCTAGAAATTGGGCTTTATGAAAAGGGCCATGTCACACTGTGGATTTTGCAGCAATTAAATAGCAAGCACAAACAGAATACTGCTGTAAAAGAATGAATGGTCATGCTTTCATTCCTATTTCTCTGCTAATTCTTCACTGTAGAATCGGATTGTGGAGGAACCAAAATAATCTCTACAACAGGGCACGCATTGGTTTTACGTAAGTGCAGCTAATTAAATGGTGCTAGATGGAAACAATTATGAACTGAAGGAATCAATTATGAACTGATGGTTTATTACCACTTTAAGTTTTGCTTACAGTTAGCACAGTTTTTGCACAGCAAGAGGGTAAAAAGCACCTCAGGAAGTCTGAGACACACATTACTGCAATGAAATAACCTATTGGGAAATTTCCTAGCAAGTCCTAACTTAAAGGATTAGTAATACTGCACATATACTATTGCCAGGCAAGTATCACAGGAGACAGTCTTGGTGCTCCTTCTGCATGCAAGGATGCAAAGTAGAGAGACATTACCCCAACCCATTGTTCCTGGCAAGAAGCATTGTATTATGAAAAGTATAAACCATACACTCATTTTGTTTAGCCTGTGGTCAAACAGATTTCTCCATCTACGCTAAATGAAGTGGATGGAGGAATCACACAGAATGCAAGGATAGGCTATATTTTAGTGTGCCAACTCACTACATTTAGGAGTTATCATTGTAACATCAATGATCATTGTGTAAAAAAAAAAAAAAAAAAAAGGAAGAAGAAGGGGGGGTAAAAATGTCAACAAGCGTGCTGGATGGAGAAACTTCTCCCTGCCAGAGATTCTATTCTGACCAGATAGCACCAGTGGCTGTCAGAACCCCAAAAACAGTTGCTGTAGCAGATTGGATGCAGGCGCTATTCAGCTGGAAATTTTACACCTGGCTCCTTCAATTTCAGGATCAAAAAGGATGTCAGGCAAGAGGGTGCCTACAGAGCCATCCATGGCATATCAGGTCATCAGGAACTATAGGAAATGTTCTCCATGGCCAGCTTAGAGCCTAGTACACAGGGGCCAAATGTTGGGCTGCTTCTGTAAAGTGGCATGACCGAAAAAGGTGTGCATCCGATCAATGATTGGAGACAATGGCTGAGAATGCTGACTGGAGTATTCTGGCAGGAGGGGCCACCCTCCTGTCAGAACTCAATATAGCTCAGCAGGGGTGATCCCTGCACTAACATTGGATTGTTAATACAGCGGCTCCTACTGAGCTCTGCAGTTTTTTTTGTTCAGACCACTGGGTTGAACGAAAAAAAACTGCTAGTGTGTAGCAGGTTTAAGACAATATTTTGCACTTTCAAAAAAAAAAAAAAAAAAAAAAAAAAAAAAGGGGGGGGGGTGGGCAATATGAAAAGAGAGACAGGAGAGATATGAGATAACATACAAACTTCAGAAGTGTGGTGTTCTCCCGTAGAGCTCCAATGCAGCCTGCGAATCCCAGCACAAACATTACAGCCCCTGTGACCATAAAAAGCCACACAGGGTCAAATCCACCCAGGTCTGTGATGGATGAGATGTTGGAGAGGACTCCCTGTGAACAAAATGGCCATAATATTACTGCTTCTTAGAAAATGTCAGACAAAAGTAGCAACAAAACATGGTTTTAACAGCTTACAAAACACAGAAATACAAAATATTTAAAAATCCTAGCAATCTAGACTGCTCTTTTATGTTTTGGATAAGAGATCGCCCTTTACTTCCTGTCCCTGAGACACCACTAGAGGCCATGGAAATATTTTCATTATCTATGGAAAACAGTGACGCTTGTGTTTCATTCAGAACATCAGGTCTGCGTCTATACTGTTAGTTTTGGAACTAGATCTATGAAAAGCCATTCTTTGGATTACAACCAAACCCTTTTCTGGAAAATGCTTTGAGATAGTGTCTCTGACCTTTAAATCTTTATTCTTTAGTCATCATTGGCCAAATAAACAGGGCATCAAACTATGGATTAAAGTGTACACACAGTGTTCTTATACTGTTTAGTCTTCCATGGGCTAATAACTAGCCAATCATAGTAACAGGGTGTCAGACAATATGAAGAATGTAGGCACAATCATGAGACAACCCTCAGGCCCATGCACAAAAATGAATCATTACAGGCCCCCTACTCTGATGTCCTTGTTTCATATAGCTGAAAGTTTTTAGAGTCTATAATCACTGATGGGTTTTACTAGCCAATGACCAAAACTTCTGCTTTTTATTTCAACATACAGTGGCATACTGTTCATTTTTTCACTCAAAACTATAAAAAATTGGCACGTGTCTTTTCCATATAGGACATAATAAATCTGCAATAAAAGTCAAAAACAAGTCAGCTTTTTCTTACATCTTTAATGTATCTTAGAAAGCAGAGATGAATGCACACAGTATACTATTAATGTGATGAGCTAGATGGGTCAATTAACTGAAGCCAAGACTATCAAAATAAACAATGGCAAAATTCTTTCAACTGGTATTAAAAAATAAATAAATAAAATAATATAACATATAAAAAAATATGTATTTTCTAGGGGTAGTATTCCACAGGCTGCACACATGAACCAGTTTGAGTGTTTATGAGAAAGGTGTTTAAGGTTTTTGGTCAGAGAAGCTCTATAGTACCAGAAGTTTACACCAACTTCTGGGAGTACCGGTATATATAAAACATTGGATATTTTGAAAAAAAAAAAACAGGTGAAAAACAGATCCTCTGAGTCTAATCTGCCAATCTACTGGTTTCTTGCATAATATAGAGAACAGACATTTTTATACAAGCTCAATACTCCATACTTTTTTTTTCCCAATTTCATCAGGGGGCTAAATAAATAAATACACACACACCACCAACCACATCACTGCTCCATGTACAGAGTCCTGTGTGGTTAGCAAATGCAGAGCTCTGTACCATCATTCTCTAAGCCTATTAGCAGGTCCTGGCCACAGTACATTGGCTGGGACCAGCTGACCAACTTGTGCTGTACTGAATAACAGCACAGATGGGGCAGCAGGTGCTCCCTACTTGGAAAGGCTGGATCACATACATGTACATGATCCAGAACAGAGTGGTCTCCCCACAGCAGTAAAAGTACATGGGGTGGTCTACAAGTGGTTATATCCACTTGCAAGTGCAAAAAATACTTCATAATCATGGTCATGTGCTCTGCCTGTTCTAATGTTCTGGAGGACTACAGAACACCATCCATCTATTATGAAGACAGGGGGAGTACACCGTAGTCTTGTTTTTGCAGTCCTGATACAGGAGGGTGAGGGAGTGTTAACCTAGGACTGGAAATATGACTGGCAGGATCAACATCCCCCTTAGGTTTGAAGGAAGGTTACTGAAAAACCCATAACACCAAGCCGAGTCACTGGGAAGCAATGTGAGGAACACCCTGTACAAAAGGCTTTCACAAAATAAGTCAGCTAAAAAATGCATCTGGATGGCATATGAATGAATGATGCAGCAGCTGTGTGGGTGGAACCCCATATGGCCATAGTTTTCAAAAAGTGACAGCCAATATGGGGAACTTCTCCCCATACTGCTTTCACAGGGAGAGAGAGCAGCAGGTGGCAGCTGCAGAAGTGGGAACGTTACATGTTCTACCCAAAAACCAGGTGGAACATAAAACGTTCTCAAAGGTGAACTGATCCTTTATAGCCAGCGACTGAGAAGCAATGCACAACGCACAGAAAAGCAAGGTTTGCACTATGTTTTGCAAATGGCACTGTAGAGTGAGGGAGGCAGATGCACAAACACAATTATCAGATATCGTTCCAATGTAGCAGGAAGCTAGAAGTGTGGCCCACTGCTCCACATATCAGAAATGCTTAAGAGAGCCTGGAGAGCTCATAAATTAAAAAATACGAACTGTTAATTTGGCTATTACAGATTTAAGAAAAATAGATGTGCCCAGTGCCAAGACAAGGTTATCCAGTGACTAGGGCAAAAATGGCCAATTAGAGGAAGGGATAGGACCAAGAGCTGCATGCAGTGCTCTGTAGCATGAAAGTATCCAATGTTTGTGACATATACTGACATAACACATTGTGGTTTACCACAGCTAACTGAAGCATTTAAAATTAAAATTGGTGCAGAAATGGGGCTAACCGTGGCAAAAAATTAAGAAAAAAAAAAAAAAAGAAGAAAGATCTCAGCACTGGTGGTGTTACTGGAAGGAAAGGCTATACCCTTGCATCAGCAGTGTCCCTAGACAGTAAAAAAAAGAAATACCCCTGCGTTGGTGGTGCGAGTCTGAAGAGAGCTTAATGGCATCTATACAGATCAGCCATAACATTATGACCACTGACCGCTAAAGTGAGCACCACCGATTATCTTGTTTCAATGGCATCTCTATTAGGCAGCAATTGAACATGTCATCCCTGAAGCTGATGTGTTGAAAGAAAAAAAAAATTAATTGATGCACTTGGGGAGCTAACACTGGCCCGAGTCACCAGATCAAACAGAAAATCTACTGTAGCTCAGATTGGCGAAAGTGTTAATGCTGGTTCTGGTAGAATGTTGTCAGAACACACAGTGCATCACAGTTTTATTACGTATGGAGTTGTAAAGCTGAGTGTCAACGCTAACTTGTGTCCAGAGGTAAAAGTGCCCGCAATGGCACATGAACATGAGAACTGGACCACAGATCAATGGAAGAAGAGTGGCCTGGTCTATTGAATTCAAGAATAGTTTGTAGCACACGTGTTTCAGGTGTTGAGTGTCCTCCAAATTCTCCAGATCTCAATCCATTCAAGCATCACGCATCTGTGAGCTAGGATGTGCTGGAACACATGTCCAATCCATTGAGGCTCCACTTTGCAACTTACAGGAAGTGCAGCTGACAGCTTGGTGCCAGATACCTCCAGAGGTCTAGTGGAATCCTTGCTACAATGGGTTATGGCAAGTGGTCATAATGTTACGGCTAACCTGTGTATGTCCATGAAATGGATGGAAGTAAAGGGGGGGGGGGGGGGGTTTATTCGGGGTGAGGGTTCTGAAGGGCTCTAAGGATGAGGGAGACTAAAAGGGGCTCTTGGAGATCTAGGACCAAGTGGTACCCCTATTCGGTACTCACAGTTCATTTTCAGTGAGCCCTGTGCTGAGAAGGACTGAAGGCAGCTTCTTCAAGTTTCTGGTCATGTGTGTTCTCAGTAGGCACCCACTTTTTCACCAACAGCACCAACAGCCCGCTGCTATTGGGAGGACAAATTATATTCTCTCCTTCCTCCCACAGCTATCCAGCTCCTGCTTCTTCTGGCAGGAGTGACAGGCCCCTTCTGGTCACCCCCTTGTCCCAGCTCTGGATGTGCCCAGGGCCAAGCTTTAACGTAGACTTGAACTTTTTCATCAGAGAGCTGATTCACACATGTGCAGTGTGAATTGAAGCTCAGGTTTCACAGCTAATTGATACAGTAGTTATTCACAGGTTCACGTCAAGTTTACGTCAGGTTCAGGACATGGTTGCTCAGGATCTTATCTTGTTCACACAATTGCGGTTTAGAAACAGCTCCCATAGAAGTCAATAGCCTGTAATCTGCACCTGAACTGGACCGCACTGTTCAGAAACTAGACATGACTCTTTACAACCACACTAAATCCACACAAGACATATGTGAGCAATGTTTTTTTTCACGTAAAGCGAATTGGATGCGGTCAGTTTTGCCGCGACGCTAAAGCTTCCGTGTGAACAGCACTGTGTGATGCCATGTGCAGAATTTTCAGAGGCATTTGAGAAGCGTTAAAAACGCTTCCCAATCGCCTCCTGACAAAGCTAGTGTGAACGTAGCCTTAGAAACATTAACTAGCTCAGTCTTGTTTGTGTATGTGATTTGGCAAAGCTGAGCAGAAGCTTGATAGAGTTTTTGTTGCTTATGAGGACTGCCTGTCTACAGCTCACCTTACACAGAAGGCTTTTGCTATATCTTTATGGATTACAGAAAAAAATAAATAAATATAACAATGGACTGGTACTTGCCTTCTCTGCCCATGCCCACAATCCAATAGCCAGGAAAGCCGCTCCTAGTAACTAGAAGATAGAAGAAGAAGAAAAAAAAAAAAAAAAAAAAAAAAGGGAACAGGTTACAACATTAACAATGTGAAACTACAAACGTATTCTCAAGTGCAAAATGTAAAATTTCCAGCTAAAGAACCCTACTCTCAAGAAATTCAAAATAGAAATTCAAAACAACAAGGTCTTAAAGTTGATCTAAGCATACTTCTAAAATAACGTCAGAAGGTTTAAAAATGCCGATTAGCGGCTCGATATTCAGATACCCCTGTCATACAGGACAGTCAGATCCTGAACTCCCTGCAGACTACACTTAAGGTAAGCACCCTTCCCCAGCTAGTGACTGAACAATGAAGGAGCAGCTGGTCACAAAGTCAGTCTTCTGATTTCCCCATCTTAAAAGCGTATCCACCATCACTGGTGCGCAAACTGCAAATTCCCTTCTCTTACAACCAGGTCACACCGATCCAGGACTTTG